GTGTCTCGGATGCGGCTGTCGTGTCTTCAATCCAGCTGTCGTGTCTCGGATCTGGCCGTCGTGTCTCGGATTACGCCGGCGTATCTCTGGCCCCGGCCGTCGTGTCCCGGAGCCCGGCGGTCGTGCCTCTGATCCTGGCCGTCGTGTCTCGGAGCCCGGCGGCCGTGCCTCTGACCCCGGCCGTCGTGTCTCGGAGCCCGGCGGCCGTGCCTCTGACCCTGGCCGTCGTGTCTCGGAGCCCGGCGGCCGTGCCTCTGACCCTGGCCGTCGTGTCTCGGAGCCCGGCGGCCGTGCCTCTGACCCTGGCCGTCGTGTCTCGGAGCCCGGCGGCCGTGCCTCTGACCCCGGCCGTCGTGTCTCGGAGCCCGGCGGCCGTGCCTCTGACCCTGGCCGTCGTGTCTCGGAGCCCGGCGGCCGTGCCTCTGGCCCCGGCCGTCGTGTCTCGGAGCCCGGCGGCCGTGCCTCTGACCCTGGCCGTCGTGTCTCGGAGTCCGGCGGCCGTGCCTCTGACCCTGGCCGTCGTGTCTCGGAGCCCGGCGGCCGTGCCTCTGGCCCCGGCCGTCGTGTCTCGGAGCCCGGCGGCCGTGCCTCTGACCCCGGCCGTCGTGTCTCGGAGCCCGGCGGCCGTGCCTCTGGCCCCGGCCGTCGTGTCTCGGAGCCCGGCGGCCGTGGCCTCTGACCCTGGCCGTCGTGTCTCGGAGCCCGGCGGCCGTGCCTCTGACCCTGGCCGTCGTGTCTCGGAGCCCGGCGGCCGTGCCTCTGACCCTGGCCGTCGTGTCTCGGAGCCCGGCGGCCGTGCCTCTGGCCCCGGCCGTCGTGTCTTGGAGCCCGGCGGTCGTGTCTCTGACCCTGGCCGTCGTGTCTCGGGGCCCGGCGGTCGTGTCTCGGATCTGGTCGGCCCGTCTCTGATCCCGGCCGTTGTGTCTCGGATCCGGCTGTCGTGTCTCGGGGCCCGGTGCGGTGCTGGTGTCTCTGACCCCGGTCGTTGTGTCTCGGACCCGGCTGTCGTGTCTCGTATCAGGCCGGCCTATCTCTAACCCCGGCCGTCGTGTCTCGGGGTCCGGCGGTCGTGTCTCGAATCCCGGCCATCGTGTCTCGGATCCGGCTGTCGTATCTCTGATCCCAGCCGTCGTGTCTCGGATCTGGTCGGCCTGTCTCTGATCCCGGCCGTTGTGTCTCGGATCCGGCTGTCGTGTCTCGGATCTGATCACCCTATCTCTGATCCCGGCCGTTGTGTCTCGGATCCCGCTGTCGTGTCTCGGGGTCCGGCCGACCCGTCTCGGAGTCCGGTCGTAGCATCTCCAAGCCAGACCACGGCGTTTCTCGAGGCCGCTGCGTGGCGAGGAACGACCCTGTCGTGTTGACTGAGGTGACGGCGGGAGCCGCCCCCCCCCCCCTCAAACACGGCTGCCCCGGCCCAGCAGCCCTGGACGGACCCGGGACCCGGCGCTCCGGCCCCGCGTCCAGCCGACAGGCCGGGGAAACTGGTGTGCGATATGGGTCGGACGCCGCTCCGACCAACCGCCTTTCGGGACTTTGTACCGCGGGAACATGAATAGCCGAAGTCAGCTGCCTGCGTCTGTAGACTGTGCCGCCGGACTCGCAAAGACTGCGCTGCTGCCACGACGCCAACACCTGTGCGGTTGCACGCCGCCGTTCTGGGCAGTCATCCGTTATTATTATTGCAGCCTGCGTTGCATACCGGCGCGTAATTGCGGGGCAAAGTTGCAGATCACCGCGACTGGCGGTGTCGCCGAGCAAATACGACAGCCGGGATCGGCGGCCGGTCCGCCTCTGCAGCCGTCTCGCCGATTGAATAGCCGTTGCAGCTCGATTAGCCGGCCTTACTGTCGCCGGCCGTCCGCCCGCGCCTTACGCGCGCTCCGCGCCGTCCGCCCCCGCGCCGGCGGCTGTCCGTCGGCGCAGGTGCGCCTGGCGCTGATTAGGTGTCGGCGCGCGGCGCCCGTGATCGGCCGACAATTGCTGACTATCCGTGTCGACTACCGGCACTTTTTCCGGGCGCGCCCGGCTCGCCCAAGCCGGCCAGCCAGCCGCCCGGCTCGTCCGCCCGGCTCGCTGCCGCTCGGCGACGTGCCGGATGGCGCCGCGGGCCGCCGGCGGACGAGTGGTCGTGCCGAGCGGCGCGGTGTCGCGGCCTCTGCGTGTGACGGGCTGTCGAGTGATGGGACGGCAAGGGCGCGCTGCGAGAAATGGGGCCTGCGGGGGGCAGTGCTGGGCTTCGCTTACACTTTATGTTCCGGCGGTCTTCAAATGGCGCGTGCACGAGTTGAATGAGTAGAGTATTTGAGGGCAGAGGCTGGCGGTGGGTTGGTCAGTAGGGTGTGTTTTGCCGACCACCAAAGATGTAGTCTGCTGAATAAATGGCGGGATTAGTTATTTCACTGCAGTCTTAAGCGTTCTAAGTGACTGCTCTTTATCACACGGGAAATACACGACCAACGCTCCGTCCAGTTGTCCAGCGGTGGAGCTGTGTTTTTTCCATCACCGACGAAGTTTGGAAGGGCTTAAATTGTCACCAGAAGCCAAATCTATCAGAACCGCTGCAATGTACCTACCGTTGTAAAATAACCTCTCAAAACAAAATTAACTCCAATTCAATGCGTCATAAACATCACAAATATTTTCATGTGGAAAGTTTCAGTTGTACTAAAGTGTCATTTGCTGGCCATGCCAAAGGCCTCGGTAAACGTGGTGTAGTTCCTAGGGCATGGATGGGCCTCTGTTACCTTTACTCAGCTCTACATACAATATAATGGCAATAAAAAACATTCATCTCACGCCTGTCAACCGGTCAGTTCACTATACCTGCGGTGCGGCAGGCGGTGTGCGAGACCAACGCTAGCGATGCCGGCCTCTTACCACAGAGCCGGTGTTCCTCTCGACAGCAGGAAGCCCGGACGTATCCTTTGCGTGTGTCCCTTCAACGCCATGCGTTAACCTTTTAAGGCGCAGTTTGGGTATCCACAAACAACGGGCCTCTTAAATGGGCTGGGCTTTCTAACGCTGCTACGAGGGACGTCCTCCATGGCAGATCCATGGAAGAGCCGCACAGTGCCTTAAAGGAACTGACGATTGGCTGCGTCCTTCACATAGGTGAGATTCTCACGACATGAACACAGCCAACGGCCGCCTGCAGTCTTGCACTGAGCCTAAACTACAGCCGAGCGACGGGCATTCGACGCCATCGGTCTCAAATGGCACGACAATTTAAAGCGCAGCGTAGCAGACTGATCACGTTCGTCGCAAGGTGTTGAGGCCAGCCACTTGTCTTATGACAGTCATGAGCCTTGTTATTTAGGCTAATGGTACACTGATAAGTATGTGACGCAAATATTGGCTGAAAAATCTACGAAAAGTACTGATCTGACGGGCATTGGAAAAGCACTGGCACCATTGATCTGTAACGTCAGCACTGATAAGGTATAGCGTGTAGTGCATTTCTGTCGACTGCTAAACACAAGCCTTAATAAAGCTATGATGTTCGGAAGCGTCATGCTGCTCAATTTTCCCATGCAGCGAGACGTCAATGTTTCGACATATTCTCCGCACAAGCTCACGCTGCAGGCGTTAGCGATTACGCACCAATGCTGGGCTACAAGTTTCGTCCAGTTGAAATAATCTGTTGCAATTTGTTTCCGTTTTCGCTATTTTGTCATCATTTAGCTCGCAGCAGCGCCAATTTTTGTCACTGGTTGTCACCTGTACATCGGCAGCGCCTCTGACCGGCGTCATCCCTAGCGGCGTCTCCGAAACAATGTTCTTGATACTGTCTGCGAAGACATTCAGGGTACCGGATCTCATATATTTCTACAGCGCACACCTATGCCACAAAACACATGCCATTCACATCGAACGGAGAAGCTTTAGGAGCAGTTCGTCCCGAACAGTTCTCAGTATCACGAAGTACAACAAATACCAAGATGAACGCGGTCGGAAATCCTCCACAGCTGTATCCAAAAGTACGATCGTTTGGAATTATCACTGCAAATGAAACCCTCACTCGATGACGCATGTGAGGCATCTCCGCTTTGTACAGAACAGCGTCACAATTCTCCGCCTGATACCACCGGACGCCAAAGCAGTCCCAAAACAGCGAGCTCGGCGTAGACGAGCGTGGTGAGGTTAAAGCACGACATACCATCGACCGCCGCAGTCGACACCCAGCAGCGATCGGTCACACAGCTACGCGGCTCCCCGCGGGGCAGGCCCATCTCCCACCCCTCGGCGTCCGCGCCGGGCGCGGCCACCTCTCACCAAACCACCGCGCCCCACTCGCGCGCCGCTCGAGCCCACCGCCAATAAATAACACAACGGAAGCGTGCAACCATAAATAACACGTGCACTCTGGTAATTAGCCTCGGCGGCATACCTTCACACTCAATCGGCGGCGCACAACGGCAGCGTCGCAGCCGACGAGACGGCCTCGCCGGTGGCTCTCAGCACCCCGTGAGCCGCGCCGCTCAGCCGCCATTCAGAGTCAATTTAGCGCGCGCTTTGTGCGTCGCCGACGCCTTTTAGTCGGCTGATTCTGGCGCCGGAACACCTAAGACTGTGGCGCGGCCTATGTAAATGCGCCGCGATTGTCTTGGCGTGGTCGCCTGACGCGGGCGGTCTGCTCGCGGACTGGGGGCGGAAGTCTGCCCGCGGACTGGGGCGGAGGTCTGTCCGCGGACTGGGGGAGGTCTGCCCGCTGGCTGGGAGCGGAGGTCTGCTCGCGGACTGGGGGCGGAGGTCTGCTCGCGGACTGGGGGGGGGGGGGGGGGGCAGACGAGAGCGGGGAGCACGGCCGCGCCGCGAGCAGGGACGCCGTCGCCGCACACTGGCGTCCGCACATCTACGGTCGGGGTTACACAGCGCGCGCCAGGAATCCGGCGGCCCCGGCGCTGCTGCGGCCACCGCACAGCGGCGGGGCGGGTTCCGGCGGCGGCCGCCGCGGCCGCTGGCCCCGGTGACAGTCACCTATCTTCACCGACCGCCGGTTACCAGCTGCGGCCGGGCAGCGGCAGGTAGGAGGCGCACATCTGCGCGCCGCCCTCGCCGGCTGGCTGCGCCATGGCCATGGTGGGCGTCATGCTCTGCCGGTACGGCTCCATGCCCGTCACCATGGCGGCCGGCGGCGAGCCCATGGCGTAGTGCTGCTGCACCAGGCTGGCCATGCCGGCGGCGGCGCCCGGGGAGGGCGGCGCGCCGCACGGCTCGCCGGCCAGGCTGGCGGCCGGCGCGCTGCTGGTGGTGGTCGCCTCGCCGGAGCCGCTGCTGCACGGCTTGCCGTCCTTCACCAGCACCGGCACGGCCACGCGGCGCGGCGAGCCCGCCTGCTCGCTCATCGCCTTCTCCTTGGCCTGGCGCTTGAACTTGTAGCGGTGGTTCTGGAACCAGATTTTCACCTAGAACGGGCGGGAGGCTGTCAGCGGCTGGCCGCGCTTTGTCGTCCGGCGGAGATTAGACGGGCGATTACGCTTTCCAGGCAAACAGCGCGCGCGCGGAGGGGGTTTTCGGCGGATTAGCGCCATTAGCGCGCAGTGAGGCGGGCGTAAGCCCTCTGTGTCCGACAGTTGTCTACCAAAAACGATATTATATAGAGATGTATTTACGGCGGGGGAAGGAAAATGCCGCCCGCCCCTGCGCTGGGGAGTCGCCTATAGAGGTGCCCCAGCGGCTGGTGGGCTTTGTGCGCCGCCTGGCTCGGTTTAATGCGTGCTCTGTGGGAACGACTCAGGACATTCCGAAGAACAAACGGCTCGCAATGTCCGGCTATCTGTCGTCGTTGCCAGAATTCATAAGACAGGCACTGGAGCATGCTATGCTATGTATGAATGAGCCGCGTCCCTGCGTTCAGTCATGTCTGAAAGGACAATGCCTGAGAAATTATTTGGCCTTGCTCTCTTCTAAGAATTCCTCACAAGCGTCCGAAATGTTAGCGGCTCAAAACTATAAACCGTGGTTTCTCGCAGGCTTTTATCGTTGGAATTTACCAGCTTATTGCGACACATTGCTTTTTTTCTGTTTCACACCGCGCTCCATATTAGCCTTTGTCTTACAGTTGAAAACTACATTTTACAAAGTCGTGTTAGAATGCATCAAAGTTCAAATTGAGTGAGCTATTTAGCTGTGCTCGTAAGTAACTTGGGCCCAACAAAGATATCTTCGATTCTATTTTCTTCGAAATAGCATAAAGCTTAGACTTTCAAAACACTTTTTTAAATTCGAACATGCCCAATTACCCAAGATGCTGCCGCTCTGATCCGCGCACTGTCTTCGGCAGTAACGACATGGGTTAAATCTCCGTCGTAATCAGGGTACTAGTTTTTTTGCTGCTACCACTACTAGGTGGTGATCGCTTTGCATCTGTCCCGAATGAGGTCAAATGTCTGCAGAATTATTGCGGCGAGAACAAAAGCCTGTTAGAAAAAAGGAGAGTTAAAAATTAATTGGGAAAGCGTGGTATAGTCTTTGAAATATTTTGTTCCAAAAACCATTGTTGCTATGCGCAGATGTTGTCCAATTGATAAAGCTCGCCGGAGGTGATTTTTTAGTTGAACGCCTAAGAATTTGCAAATCCTTTTCCCAATTCATATCGCATGCATTTTTTCGTTAGTTGCACGCCCCTACGTTGTAACAATGCGGACAGGCCCTGGATTAGGCATGAGGTCTGTGAGTGAAGTGCGCCATACGTTCGCTGCGAGACATGACAGCAATTTAAGCCATAGCGTCAAGGAGGAGTGGCTAAACAAAAAAGCTCCAGGAATGAAAGTTTTTATCATTCTGTACAGACTGATATTGAAAATTTAGCGATACATTTTCCCCACTGTCAGGGAGTGTTCCACATTCATGTAGGGTTTTGAGCTGAAATAGCCATCTTGAACACCTTCCGGTGCTGTCCACAATCGTGCCTTCCTTAAGACCTAAGCCCCTTTAGTTTCTGAGCTAAACGCCCACAAAAATGGGGAAGATATATCGGGGAGACTTTTTCAAAGCCACCTTGGCATTCATGACGTCATAACAACGTCATTCAAATTCTATAATTTCATAAGCAGTGCGGTGATCAAGGCCAAAAAAGAAGATTGTCGAGGCGTTCATATCTGGCGTTTGTCAGCACGATAGCCATATGTAACGGCCGTCTACTAGCCCCCAATCCATGTTGTGTATGGTACGATGACGTAATCAAACCATGACGCATTGAGGAGCGCAGTTACGAAACAGGGAATCGTGCTGTCTAGAACAGTCTTTTCCACTTAAAGATATACCAATAGTTGTAAGTGAGCTGGTTTCATCATATCTAACGCTCACTTTAGAAGCTTCAAATGTGAAACATCCCCTTCAAGGAAACAAAGTTGCAACACGCTTTTGGTGCGCCTAATCCCCTAATCTCGACATCTGATGTGATACCTGTGACTTGAAGCCCTGTGGTTGTACTGACCTGGGTAGGAGTTAGATGAATCAGGCTGGCCAGATGTTCCCGCTCCGGCGCGGAGAGGTACTTCTGCTGCTTGAAGCGTCGCTCCAACTCGTACACCTGCAGGAGCAGGGGGTCAGACGCGATCAGGGCGTGGTCAGGGCTTGGTCCCATCCCCTGAACGCTTTTAAGATGCGATTCATTTGTAGCGATGACTTTCTTTACCAACATTTTTAAGTGCACCTCTCTACCACAATATTTCATGCTTCTATAAAAAAACTGTGGCGTGCTTAAAACGGGCGAGACTTTCAACATATATTCAGAGAGGCTAGAGTACTCACAATATCTTGCGTAACTTAACATCCCATCAAAGTGCACTGTAGGGATGAAACCAACACAAAATATCGATGTGCATACCATTTTGAAAAGCCTCGCCGCTGCTGATTAATTTCCCCGACGCACGAATTCTCCGACCATCCCGGTCACGCGGCGTAAACAGCGTTCGTCAGCGGGCCCTAGAGCGAGACGGCGGCCTTACCTGTGCCTGCGTGAACAGCACGCGTCGCTTGCGTCGCTGGCTGAGCGGAAACTGCATCGGCTTGGTGTCAGAGCACGCGCCGAACGGCGCCATGTTGGACATGTTGACGTTCATGCCGGTGGACCCCGTCATTAGGCGGGAGACTGAAACACGGAGAGCACGAGGTCAGCCGGATGTCAGGCGGGCCTCAGCTGTCTGCTGTGAGGCAGGCTCACGCAGCCAACGCGCCAGGCATCCGGAAGGGATGCAATGCGCTTCAGGGCGGCGAATTTGAGGGACCATTTGCATAAACACCGCTGATGCTGTCTACCTGCATGGCTTTCACATTACATAGGACATATATCACATAGGACGTCGTTGCCAAGTTCGTGCAACGTAGGACAGCCAGAACGCCAATGCGTTTAGACGTACGGAGTTACACCACCTAGTGGTCGACTCCGCCATAAGTGCACGTGGCTTGGATGTCCCAAAGCACTTGCTGTACCCAAATCCGTGTACGTCCTGCCGTATATCTGTAACTTCTTGCGTGATGCCCACCACCGATTCGAGTTTGCTTTGGCTGGTAGCCGGGCCTGGCCCGCCTGAGCCGCGACGGCTCCCCGGATGGAAAACACGCCTCATATGCAGCGTCACTCTGTTTATCCACGGCGCTGTGTTTTGTTTGAGAGGGCCTCTGTTTAGACAAGTGATTTAGCTGAATTAAAAGCTTTACAGGATTTATGACTGGCTATGGCAGCCGAGCCCAGATTATGACGTCACCGGGGACGACGGCGGCGTCGACAGACGGGGAGCGGAGCCGATAAACAGAGCACTCTCACGAAGCACCTCTTGGAACGGTCGTGCGCGCGCTTAACTCGGCGGACTTTGGCCGGCCTGCTGTTCAGCGGAGTGGCGTGCAGTGGAGCGGCGCATGCAGTGGAACGGTTATGGTCATCAGCACAAGGATGGCGGCCCACTTCAGGTGCATTGTGACGAATTTTAAGAGGTTAAATATGATACAGGTCATTGTTTACTGAGGCTTATAGAAAATGCGTCCTTGTAAGACATGCTTCCATGCAGAGATCACAAAACCGTACAAATGCAGCGGTAAGTGGGCCTGGTGGAAACGTGACAGTATGGTTTTCGTCACGCAAAGTCACGTTTCAACGCCTTAGACATTCTACTGATATCTGAACTATGCAGCCGTCATTATTCAGCTCTGAAGAAACAAAATAAGCCCGCACATGTGCTCTCTGCTTTGTTTTTGTCTTTCTAACATCCATGTGTTGCTTGTAGTGGGTTCCTCCCATCGGGACAAACACAGCCAGCCTTCCTCCGCCATGCATGGTGATAGCCCAGCCACCTCCGGATCCGGATGTACCTCCGAGAATTGGCCAGTTTTTAAATGGATCACATGCCGCCTGTAAAACCAGGAACGCCCAGATGGATCTATTATTAATTGTTTGCTGTAATCCATTACGGTGAAAAGTTTAGATACGCATGTAATTAGCAAAGGTAACAATCTGAGTGTTTTTACCCAAGTGAAATGTGCAATTTCCACTTTGCATATGAAATAACTTTCTATCATCTTTTGTGTAGAGGAATTGGGGCGGTTTTTGGAAAACACTGACGGCTGTTGGGGGATAAGGAGCAAATGAGCATGCCAATTATATGGACCAGTGCAACAGAGGTGAATTTGGAGCCCTTCCGTATGTTATTACGGTCTGTCCTTGATTTGTATTAGACATGCTTCTTATTTCTTTTTGTTTACAAACTTAACACATTCGCTAAAATGTGAGCAGATCCCTCCTCCACCACCAGAAGACGTGTAGGGTCACCAGTAACGCAACTATGCACATATCTACGGCGGTCGCTTGACGGGGTGAGGCCTCAGCCTCCGAGCCTGCAGGCGGTTGGGTGACCTCCGTCAGAGAGGGACGCCAGCCCCTGACCCTGCAGTCGGTGGGATGACCTCCGTCAGAGAGGGACGCCAGCCCCTGGCCCTGCAGGCGGTGGGATGACCTCCGTCAGAGAGGGCACCAGCCCCTGACCCTGCAGTCGGTGGGATGCCTCCGTCAGGGAGGGATACCAGCCCCTGACCCTGCAGTCGGTGGAAAGCGCTCCAGCAGGGAGTGGTGTCAGCCCCTGATCCTGCAGGCGAAGTTACGAGCTCTGGCAGGGAGGGATGTCACCCCGACCCTGCAGACCGAGGAATGTGCACCGCCAACATGCCATCTCGGCGGCGCGTCTCCGGCGCCGGCCGCCGTCCGCTAACGAGCCCCGGGTCGTGACGCGGCTGATGGCGGCTGAAAGCCGAGCCTGCCGGGCGCCAGCGGCGAGCGTGAGCGCCGGCGTCGTCCCGGACCGGTCCGTCCCGGTCCGATCCGTCCCGATCCGGTCCGTCCCGATCCGTCCCGGTCCGGTCCGTCCCGATCCGTCCCGGTCCGGTCCGTCCCGATCCGGTCCGTCCCGATCCGGTCCGTCCCGATCCGGTCCGTCCCGATCCGGTCCGTCCCGATCCGTTCCGGTCCGGTCCGTCCCGATCCGGTCCGTCCTCCCGATCCGGTCCGTCCCGATCCGGTCCGTCCCGATCCGGTCCGTTCCGGTCCGTTCCGGTCCGCCACGTCCCGGTCCGTCCGTCCCGATCCGGTCCGTCCTGGTCCGGTCCGTGCCGGTCCGGTCCGTCCCGATCCGGTCCGTCCCGTCCGGTCCGTCCCGCCGCCGCCGCCGCCGCCGCCGCCGCCGCCGCCGCCGCCGCCGCAAGTCGCCGCCGCCGGCCGTCCCGCTGAATGGTTCGGCTACCGTGCCGCGCCGCCGCCGCCGCCGCCGCCGCCGCCGCCGCCCCGCCGCCGCCGCAGCCGCCGCCGCCGCCGCCGCCGCCGCCGCCGCCGCCGCGCCGCCGCAGCCGCCGCCGCCACCGCCGCCGTGCCGGCCGTCCCGCTGAATGGTTCGGCTACCGTACCGCGCCGCCGCGTGAGGAGGTGATGCTCTCGATGCGGCCGGGACGGAGTCATGTGTCAACGCGAATGCTTTGGTTAGAGCTGACTGAGGTGAGCTGATGTTAAGACGTTGAGGAAGCGATGATTATCGTTTTCACTATAGAGCAGATAGATTGCGTTGCATATAGATAGTTTGTTTTGTTGTTGACCACCTTCAGGTATTTTTTCCGCTTGCTTCTGCTACGAGTTCAAGTATTGCCTTCGCATAGTCAATGTGTCGTGAAATAAGCAAGTGGCAAGTAGACCGCGGAAGGTATGAAGTATCAGCCGCGATTCGCACGCATTTAGGCACAAACGGACACCTTTGTTTCAAAAAGAGTCTACATAAACTACCCGACGGTAAATGCACCATGCGGTTATGTCGTGTAAACCCGTCTATGAGTAGATTTACGATTCCATGTATCTGTGCCATAATTTATCATGTGACGTGCTGCGCATCGACGACAGTTGGCATAATGCTGATGGCCTAATCAGAATCCGCGTCTGTGTGCGTCAGAGTGCCAGGGCCACAGAAGTCACACAAGGTAGTCAAGTCAACGAACGCGTGTTTGATTTGGAGGTCGTCACAAATACCCACTTCTCGGCTTGGGTTTGCGCCCAGTCAGACTTGACACAGGATCTCTCCACCACAATCCCGCCTTGCGATGCGCGGTGGCTCGATGCGCCTTGCAGCTTCCGTCTTTGCTAAGCTATCGGAGAACAAAAGAAAGCCATTCGCCATCATCGCAAGGCGCACCATCTCCCAATATTACCGCGCCATCTGGTGTTTGGCCAGAGCAAACAGAGGCCGCTATACCCCGTCCGCCTGTGTCTCGTTTCCTTAGCATTCATCGACCATCGGCGATTACCGAAACGTTTCCCCCGGCCGGCAACACTTCAGGCTAACGACGTAAACAGACATCGCCGCCGCAGGAGCTGGGGCGGCCGGGACGCGCGCCGACGCCCGCGGAGAACGTCGCTAAATGGTGCAGGGGTCGGCAAACTCGATCAACGGACGCGGGCGACCAACTGACGCGATGGACGGGAAACTCGACTATCTGACGTCTGGATGGAGGGAGGATGCAGTGGACAGACGGGCAGTGCTCGGCAAAGTCGGCCAACGGACTGACGAGCGCGGAGCGGCAGACCCGATCGACTGATGGAGCACAGGGGCACCATGCTGGGCTTTTCGACAAGACAATTTTGAATCCTGGTTATCACTGGCTCTTTCGACGAAAAACGTGGATCGTGGTTCCCACTGGTTCTTTCAGGAAAGACCTCGGATGCTGGTTCCCACTGGTTCTCTCGGCCTAACAAGACCCTGTGTCCCGGTTCCCGCTGGACATTGCTGCCAAACAATACCTTGAGTCATTCTTCCCTTTCGTTCTTCATCACAACATGGGCCGGATTTCTTGCTCTGATTGGTTCTTTCGAGAGCATTGTGCCTTGGATATTTGTTCGCACTTTTTGATGAACACATGTCCCAGTGCAGGCTCTCAGCCACACATTTACATAAGCCACACTGCATATTTAGATATTTTTGTCTTCCATTAGATAAGAGGTCACACCACTGGCGAGCAAGTCAATATGCGCTGGTACCACAACTGCTATGAAAGCTTTAATGTTACTTGAAGATCAAAGTCTACAATTTACACAAAAAAGTCTGAAGCTATCTATCTGCTCATTATCCTGGAATAACTGGGATGTCTTTCTTATTTGCTCGGTTTGCCTCCTTTCCCCCCATTGTTGATTATCCTCCAACGTTGGTTCAGGCCCTATTTTACTGAAATGTTGACAAAAGTAGAAACTGATATGTCACACAAAGCCTGCCATTGCATTCCTTTGAGGACCATGACCAGTACAAGTGTTAAACGGATAACTAAATTCCTTACAGCTGGGCTGTGCTGGAATAAACATCACCAGGTTTGTACTGATAGCTTGCCTACCTTGATGTCTTGGGATGGACTAAACAACTACATTGTGGTCACCGCTTTCAATACTCCGTTCGAATTTAAGGTGATACAAATATTGCAGAGTTCCAGGATGGGTCTTGGTTTTGCTGGATCCTTCGACGTAACGCAGGCTGGATCTTGTTTCTTGTTGGATCTTTCCGCTTAATGTCAGGCTGGCTCCTGGTTCTTCCTCGATTTTTTGGCACAGCTCCTGATTGGTTCCTGGGTTCTGCTTGGTTCCGGAACCAGGAGCCGTTTCCAGGAAGACATTTTGGGAGCCAGGTGCGTGTCTGCTACTGAGCACAGGCAAACCGGCCAACTAACGATAACAGGAACGGCAAACGCGGGCAGCAGATCCGGTCTTTACCAGCGATCGGTGAGCTGACTCGCCCGCGGCCAGTGGACCCATCAACCCACGGAGGGATGCACGGTAGACCCGGTCAACTGACGGAGGGATGAAAGGTGGACCCGGTCAACTGACGGAGGGATGAACGGTAGACCCGGTCAACTGACGGAGGGATGAAAGGTGGACCCGGTCAACTGACGGAGGGATGAAAGGTGGACCCGGTCAACTGACGGAGGGATGAACGGTAGACCCGGTCAACTGACGGAGGGATGAAAGGTGGACCCGGTCAATTGACGGGAGTGAATGAACGGAACACGGTCAGCCGACGGATGGATTAAGGTAGACCTGGTCGACTGGCGGAAGGATGAGAAGGTAGAACCCGGTCAACTGGCGGAGGAGAAACCTGGTCATGAGCTTCCGAGAGCAGGCGCAGATCTCCGAGAAGAGAAATAGAGAGAGAGAAGAGAGAGGGATAGGAGAGAGAGAGAGATGAGCGAGAGGAGAGAGATGAGAGAGGAGAGAGAGAGAGGAGAGAGAGAGAGAGGAGAGAGAGAGATAGAGAGAGGAGAGATGAGAGGAGAGAGAAGAGAGAGAGAGAGAGAGAGAGAGAGAGAGAGAGAGCAAGAACTGACGTTAGCTATCAGCTGACCTTAGTTATCATCTAATCGCTTCGCATCTAAATCAAGAATTGAATTGCTCGTGATTACTGGGTGGAGACAGTAATGAGTCTTTGTTAACCTCTTCTGATCATGCCTTTCTTCCTGCTTGAGCTTCATCCGCTCCTTTCTCCGGTCAACACAGCGCGGCGGAAGTGGGAAGGCGGGCCAACATCGTTCATTTCCGCCGCTTTCAAAGCGGCGGCAGACTGGCTGTGACATATGTTTTCGCAGAGGGCGCAGGCGGCCCCTACCCCTTATGACAAATTGTGCGCAGTTTTGGAGGAGAGTTATTTCGACAGTCGTTAAAGGGGCTAGTAATGACTTGAGTGGAGACAACCGTGGTGGAAAAGGTGGTTTGATAGATAATGTGTTATACTGCACACATGGTTGAATGACAGCTCATGTTGTTCTTAGATGAGGGCTGGTCCACCCTTTGGTGAAGGTAATTGGATGGAGGGCATTTCACCCATTTAGTTTTGCGAGATGCTCGAAAACTCGATTTGTTTCGCTTGGTGGGTTTGGCCTAGAGCATTGTTGTAAAAAAGACAACTCGTATGATAAAATGTGTTGGAATGCATGCCTTGTGCATAAGATACCGCTTTAACACGCATAGTAATGCATCCGTGAAATTTAGCTGTCTGCGGGCGCTACTGGCTTCAGCAACTAAGCGTGTGTGGTAGTGCGCTAGCTTTTAATGCATTGATATTGTGTAAAACTTCCAAATCACCAGCGAGTTCTACTCAAAACATATATGGTGCTGTTTGGTGCTACTGCGCAAGCTATTTGTTTGTTGTACTGTCCAGAGACGGCGCCTCCGTCGCTTTAAAGGAGTAAGTGGGGCTAGAAGTCTACTAAGCAGAACTGGGGTCTCCTATCTAGCACTTTTTTCAAGGTTTTCCTCGTATTTGGCCCACTGGGATATTCAACTGGAACCTTTTCAAAAGGATGGCTTATATATATATATATATATATATATATATATATATATAACCAAGTAAAGCCCCCTCTCGGCCCGTTCCGGCCTTTAGTCTTTCTAAATGGGGCCTCCTTTTGAGTTGGCGACTTCCCGTTTTGCATGAGGCATTGCATGGGGTCTATGCATCTGATGGGTCTACTTTGGAACATCTGGAGCATCCTGTTGACCAAAAGAACCTGACGTTGGCTATCTCGGGTCCTCCGTGGGACAGATATTGTCTTATGCGGGCCGCTAATTCCTGTTGGTCTGATGAGAAGTTTTAATCCGGTCATCTGAGATCTCCTGTCCGCATGACGGCGCCTCTTGAAATTCCAAGGGGTCAGAAATACACGCTTCCCCTCCTTCCCAAATGATAGGAGGGCGGTTGGCCCTGGTCCCCCAGCATCAGCCAAAGCTAGCGGCGCTTCTGCACAGATATTTTTCCAAGGCGTACTCGGTGCAGCATGAAATTCTTACATGTAAAGCTATTTGTTTATTGTGAGAAAATGTATGATATTGCCCTGCTTGGTAGACTACATTGCCTCTGACTACCCATTTTCGGGAGCACACGCAATACCTCGTCACAAGCGTGGTTCCCTGCACTGTTTGTATCGAGCACATTGATTGCAGTGCGTCGCACACCAGTGACAGCTGAGAGCCGGGCCAGAGCTGACGTCACGAGTAGCTGACAACGAGCGTTCCAGCCGTGCCCTGACCTGACACGGGGTCAGCACTCATACGCCAGCCCCGGGCCGCCAGGCGTCCCGCGCTCCAGCATGAGGACAGCGGGGTGGGTACTCACTTGCGAAGCGGGGGTCGCTGGGCGTGCCGTACCAGCCGGCCGAGCTGTTGCGCACGTCGCCGTAGTGTCCGAACTCGGGCGCGTTGCAGTACTGGGCCGGAAAGGCTGCGGCCGGCGTCGCCAGCTGCGGCACGTGCATGTGCGAGTACGGGTTGGCCATGTTCTGCTGGCCGCGGTACACGGGCGAGCTCGGCAGTGAGACGAAGCTGGAATCCAGCGTGGACTTGCGGTAGGCTTCCTCGTACGGACACAGGATGTCACTCACCGAAAAGGGCGTCGGCTTGGGGCTCAAGGTCATGTCATTGGGGTCGCCCGGGTCAGAACGCAGGTCAGCGGCGACCCCCTCAGGCCCGCCGGGGGCACCGAGCAGGGAGAAATTTAGAGTATCCACTCTGAATCACACGCGCAATGTTCTTGAGAGAATCTTGAATCCACTCCGGGTGCCCTTCGAGAAACGCTACACCGAGTGACTATTTTTTCCGATGCTTGAGGTCCTCCACGGTACAAGCAAAACACACCGAGAGCTCGAAGTGCTCTTCACTGCCTCCTCTCCAGAGAACAATCCAAATCTATCACAATTTTTCGGTAATTTGGATGGTCGTTCACTGGCTCTCCGTTGGTGATAAGACCCGACTGGCGGGCGGCTGCAGCCAATCAGGCGCCGCCCGTCCGCGGCTCGGCCGGTGATTGGCGGACAGGCATTGATTGAGCTAGAGGCTCCGCCCAGTCGAGGGGGAGGGGCCTGCCGCTGCGCCGGCCTTTGTGGGAGCGAGTCACCCTCGTCCTATTCATTGAGTTTCTTGCGAGTTCCTGCAAATGGTGATTACCAGCACAACGCGTGCCATTAATGATCACTGCCGGCGGCTTGGCCCCGCCGACAAACCGTAAATCGAGCATCTCGCGCCGGAAAACAGTCCACGCAGACGATCAGAAATTCATCACCGGAACTGCACAGGGAGAGGTCCAACCACACACCCCTCGTACGGTCACACCACCTCACCACCAGAGAGCTACCAGCCATGCTGTGCACTGGTCCGACCCCTAGCCCCGAGGCAGGAGGGCAAGGGGGGAGGGGGCAGGGACACGACCCCGGCGGCGGCTGCGCAGGGACGGGCGCCGAGACGCGGCAGCGACGCGGAGGGCCCTCCAGTTTGGAGGGCGGCCCGCGCTGGATGGTCCTCCAGCGGCCGAGCGCTCCAGTCAACGAGACTCAGGGGCCATCCAGGCCGGGTCGCTAGTTATTCTGAATGATACTTGGGCGCGGCCGGCTGGAGCGGCCGGCATGCCCGCGTCGGTCGCTCAGTTGGGTGTCGGCGTCGTGCCGGCTGTGAGCAGGGGCAGCCGGGGGCGCCGCGGGGGCCAGTGCCGAGTGCTGCGGGGCGCAGCGGGGTGTCCCGGCCGGAGCCGCAGGCAGCCGCCGGACCGGCTCCGGCCGACGGCACCGCAACGGCTGGGGCCTGTGAGCGGCTCTGGTGAGAGCTGGGGCCTGTGAGCGGCTCCAGTGAGAGCTGGAGCTTGTGAGCGGCTCCGATGAGCTGGGGCCTGTGAGCGGCTCCGGTGAGAGCTGGGGCCTGTGGGCGACTCCGGTGGAAGCTAGGGCCTGTGGGCGGCTCCGGTGAGAACTGGAGCCTGTGAGCGACTCCGGCGGGATCTGGAGCCTGTGAGCGACTCCGGTGAGAGCCGGGGATGCAGAGCCGCCCTAGTGATAGTTAAGGCCTGCAGTTGACCTGCGGCTGCAGCAGTTTCGCCTCGCCAGCAGCGGTTCGGTCGGCACCAGCAGAAGACCGTGGCGAGGGCGAGCTTCCTCGGACGGCGCCGTGGAGCGCAGCACCGGCGAGCTCAGAAGACTCTTACTCGGCTGCAGAGGGCCGCACCTCTGCGAGGCCTCTAAGCTCGGAAGACTCTGACTCGGCTGCAGAAAGCCGCATCCTCCGCAGGACCTCGGCAGTATGGGTCGCCGCTTGATGGAGATGTGTAAGAGCAAGTTGAACCAGCGGCGCTCAGGACTCCTGAACGCGTCGCTCGAGACCCGGGCCGCCTGGCAAACGTCGCTGGAGGCGGGCATCCACTGTTCCAGCTCGGTGATCTCTCCAGAGGTGTAGCTAGTGCAGGCTGAGTAAACGAGGTGGACCCCCAATCATTTTCCACTCTTGCAAGCATTTGAGCATGGTGTTGGTGTTGCAGGAGTTCCCACAGACAAGCATGTTGCATAGTGGATTTTTGAAGGCATTCAGTACGTGGTATATTTTGAGGTTCTCACAGTTCTTCCATTGGAGGGGGGGGGGGGGGGGGGGGCGGCGCCTCTGGCGTACTTAGGTTATCTTTCTTATTCATCCATAATTTGGTCCACGCCAACTAAGACCGGCCGTGCAAACTGCCGCCGCTGCTGTCGTCTTCTTGACCGAAACGGCAAGATTGCACACTTGGGCCCATCAGCCCTCAGATGCAGTGATACAGCGAGGGAGCTGTTTGGTCCGGCCACAGCTACGGCGGTAACAGTAGCCACAGCCTGGCTCCCAGGTGCATTGGTAACGGGCCGGGCGGCTCAGGCAATCGCTAGAGAGGGCCGGCCGACTGTAGCCCAAGGCTTGATAATGTCGCGCGCAGGAGAACTGTAGGCGGTGCAGGCCAGGGTAACAGTTCATGTATGATTATGATGGCGTGAGAAAGGGATTCAGGACACTGTTTGACAACCAAAAAGGTCAGCGTAACATGCGCCAGGGGTACAATTGCACCCATGCAAACCATTCGGACACTCTGTTGTAGAAGAACTGCCCTCAATATCTCCCTTGAATGTTTGTCAGACGCCTTGCAATGACCGGAAAAACGACACCATTGTATAAATACGCTTCAACGCCATTCGCAATGCGGCGGTGCGTCCCGGTGGCGGGTTCCGTACGAGCCTTGGTCAGTTGGGCGCCACGCTCCTGGCCAGGACGCCTGGCACTGCCTATTTGGAGTGCTGGCTCGGCTCACCGTCTGCGTGACGTGTCAGGCGCCGTCTTGCCATAACCGTGCGCCTCACTTCATTTGGCAGCATTGTTAAGCGAAGAGGAGCACTCACTCGGGTACACAGCGTGAAATTGGGGGCAGCTCGCGGATTCGAAAACTTTTGGTATCGTGTTTTCAAGATAAATATTTGGATGGCTGTGACCTATAGTTGCACCCCGACCGTAGCGTGTAGCAAAGCTTGGGATCAGACATGAGAGGTGCCTTTGAGGACGTGGTGCGATGTAATCAAAACAGCGAAGGTTCTTCAGGGAACATGATAATGTTTCTTACTTCCGCCTAGTTATTTAATGACTCAGGCCGAGGTAAGAACACGCACCACCTAGCGATACAAAAGTACAGTTATGCGAAGGTCTTTCAGCGCTCGTGAGATTTTGTTTGACAATCAGCAATGGATGAATAAAATTTTGGGCATAGAATTATGCTCATAGTGCTCCATACGCTCAGCATTTTACGTCAGCGACAAATGTGTGCATCTTTTTCTAAATAACTGATGGTCTTTCCTGCCTTGTGAAACAAAGGATTATGCTTCGGTTCCTTGAACACGTATCACTTTGCCTTCGGTTAAGAAGAGATCCTTCTGTACACTTTCGATGCAAGGCGTTTTTATAAGCGGTCGCACTGTTGGGACGAGCTTCAGATCGGCAATATGTTGTGGTGGCGGGACAGTATGCCTGGCTGCGGCAACTCTCAGGCACGTCCTGTGGGAAGCATGGCTCCTGTAACCACGGCAAGGTCGGTTCAGGCCCACGCCCTCCCCGTCCGTTCCACGGGGACCACGCCTCCCTGGGCCCACGGGGGAAATCGGCTCCTATAACTCCCCGGACCGCTCTGTGGGGACACACGACTCCGGTCACATACGGGAAAGCCGGCCGCGGCCTCCGAGCCAACGATTGCGCGCCATCGGGCGGTCCCCGGCACGCGGCCGGGAAGGCCGGCACCGTTTGCTCCCGCCTTGATGGCTCGCTCTTCGGTGAGCACGGCCCCGGTGTGAACACGGGAACACCAGCCCTTATGGCACGAGTTCATAACTTTGAACTCTGCACTCCAGAAGCTGCCAGCCTTGAGGAAGCCTCAGGAAATGCAAACGGAAAAGCGTGGAAGAAATGCGATGCAGACTGATCGCGTGAAAACGCACTGCGCGCGTCAATCTGTGTGGCTTTGTAGACCGCATGTTCATATCTTATTTGCACGCTTTCCACCGCATCAACATTAAAGTCACATTGCACGCTACAAAATCGCTGAATTATTCGCTTGTCCTCACTGCTGTCTTCATTTCGATCGTCCTTCCTTACTATCAGATCGATAAGAAACTGAAATGCTTGCATGTTAGCAAATTTGCAAGTGCAAAAACGGGGCTTGGGCGCAAAATGACCACAGTACTCGGCGCGCCCTAAAACTTAAATCAACAACAACATAAATGGGGCTCATTTTGCTTCGTCAAACTCCACGCAGCCCGGTGCGCGTCACCGTGGCTGGCGGATCCCTGACAAATTGTGGAAGGACGAGCTGCCTAAATGAACACATTTCGATATGAAAATGTCAAAAATGTGCTTATGTAAAAGAAACCGGTGTAGTTTCTTGTATATTCCATACATTGCTCCACACATTTTCGTCAGGAATAAATACAGAGCGGCTCGGTCTACATCGCTCCGCGTGCGGCCTTTGGAAGCCCGGGGTGCGACGGTCCGGGCAGATATTTCCCTGCGTTTACTCATGCACGGTGTGCAAGCATGCACTCATGCCTTCTATGTTTAAAAGGATCAGTTGCTACTGTTAGCTGCCATGAAATTAATTCTGCCAGCATTGCTCACCGGTTTACCGCTTTAAGACACGAGACCAGCATTACCATCTGTAAGTGAGCTGGACAGAGGGAAGGTTAAAATTTATGAGGCAATATGGATGCTTAGTATAAAGGAACAGTTAAAATGCTACATTCGTGCGTGTAAACAACAGTTCCTCTGCAGTGGTACCGCCGGGGTCAAAGGCTCAACACACGGAACATGCTTAAAAGGATGAATTGCTCTCATCAATTTCTATGAACTTAATGACGCGTGCATTGTATACTGATGCTGCCTGAAGGAACGAGGCCACTTTGATGTTGACTGTAGGAACGAGGCCGGTATTGGCTACTGTGCGTGAACCGGGGTGAAGGAGGGCGGAACACTTGTGAGACAATATCAGTGATTAATCTTGAAGCGCATGTCATCACATGTTAATTACAGCTCCTTTGCAGCGACTCCGTTTAAAGGGAACGTTCAACATTTGAAGATATGAGGCAGCCATCAGTGTGATGAAACAAGCTCACTTATAACTAATGGTATGCTTTTTAAGTGGAAAAGACTGCTCTAGACGGCGCCATTGTCTGTTTAGTAAATGTGCTCCTCAATGCGTAATGACTCGATTGAGTCGCCGTTCCTTGCACAACATTGATTGAGAGCCAATTGACGGCCGTTCCATCTGGAAATTGCGCTCACGAACGCCAGATGTGAACGACTGGACAATTACATTTTTTCTTGGCATTGAACGCTGCATAATCAATGAA